CACGTCCATTGCTTGCATTTTTGGCATAAAACTATGAGTGCGCCTATAAATTTTTCGCACTTTAATCACACAAAAATCAAGAAAAATCATTAAAAAAATAAAATCAGGGTAAATCTTTTTGTGGTGTATTCGTAAATAGCTCCAAATAAAATCTATATATATAAAACTCATTGTGTGTGTATGCGTGTGTGCGTTTGTCCTATTTTTTTTTATTTTCATGATTTTTTAATTCTTGGTTTTAATGGTGAATATTTCGTTAGAATTCTCGCGGCTTAAATAGCAGATTCACATATCAGTTTTGATTTTCGAATTAAATTTTCAAAAGTTTGAAGAAACAATTTTTTTAATTGTTTCTCGATACAACGTACATTAATGTGGATTGATGGCAATGAAATATTGGTTTTGGAACAGAGTTGAACATGGACACCATCTCGGTCCATCATGGTCATGTTAACACGACTTAACACCGTGAATAGTCAATATGGGTATCATATGAAAGGTTTTGGAACAGAGATGAACATGGACACCATCTCGGTCCATCATGGTCATCTTAACACGACTTAACACCAATTCACATATGAAAAAAATGCGTGTAAAATCAACTCCAGAAAAAGGAGCAACTTTCCCAGAAAATCGTCTTTGCTTTGAAAAAACAAGTATGGAACATACGAAATGATACAGACTAACATTCATAACTGAATTTTGCTTTTTACGTCAAATTGTATCGTCATCTCACTGAAATGCTTAGTTTTCTTATTCATCTTTCTTGATTGAAAAAAAACTAACTGAACGGAAGAGAACCCGAACTAGCGCCCAAGCCGAGCGAAGCGAGGCGAGGAAGCTAGTAATAACATAAAAATGAAACAATAACGGTCAATTTTTGTTCACCGGGATAAATTTTACACCGAGGTGTAAATATAAATTTACCCCTCGCAAGACAAAATTTACCCCTCGGTGAAAAATTTATCCCTTGATGTGATTTTTATGCAAAAACTATACCCAAAAGTCATGGTATCAATTCTAAGAGCATGGAAACGTTACATAAAGTAAATATTATTCATTATACTAAATATTTATTGAATATTTCCTGTTTGACGCCTTATAAATTGCTCGAACTAAAAACTTAGTGACATTTTTTCTAAATGGTAGAAAAATTGGTGTATTTTTATTTGTTTCGCTGAAAAATAAAAGCAATTCACGGTGGAAGGCATTATTGAAACATAAAATGTGATTTTCCGCATAAAATATTGCGAGTTGAAAACATCCAATGGAACAGGACCGTTTTTCGACCTTTTAGACCCTTCAGACAGGGTTGAGATAGTTTTAGATCGATTCCTCGTTTAAAATTAAGTGGAAATAGACTCATAACAGTCAAGTGTAGGTAGGTTTCCTATGTCATAAATGTGATTTTGTATGCAAATTGCAACCATTTGATTGCTCAATGAAGAAATGTTGTTTTAAGTCAATTTTATGGGTAATTCCATGTTCAAATGGTCATATTTTCATGTATTTTGACGAGAAAATAGCAGTTTTTTCAGACAAAAATATCGTAGGAGGCCATTTTTGACCATTTTACCCACAAAAACTGTGAAAAGTAAGATATAATTCATCTGCCGAGGCCAAAATAACGAATTTAGTCATGGTAATACACGAGAAAACTTCGGAAATTTCGTAACGTTTACCAAAGTGTCACTTTTTTGACTATGACAATACATCAATACATTGAAATAACACTTAGTGTACTGGTGGAACAAATGAACGAAGAAACAAACACAAAACACAACAAGAAAGCATGCAAACTGATCACCTGCATCTCATTCAAACACAAAGACATACCGTGCCACCGCGCTGTGTATATATGCAATGACGATGTTCGAACGAGTGGGATGCAGAGTGGCACATAATGCGTCGTTCGTCTGTCTTCTTGAAATTTGTATGTGTTTGTGTGTCAAAACTGGCTAAATCGATAATACCAAAATTTTCGAAGTCCTTTTATTTTCTTATCTGAAGCGACGTGACATGGGTTATGTTTTGACGCAAAGAAAAAACATATAAAAAAATCACCATGAAAAAACTAATAAGAGATAAAAAATATTTCTCTTAAGCAAAGTTTTAGAGGATTTCGAATATTACGACTTTGTTAAAGTTACTAAACCTCTACCTCTTATCAGCCTCAAGAAAATCCTGACCGAATGCGGACTATCACTCATTTTCAGTAGTTTCATCACACACATTTCGAAGCAATTGCTTAAACTGGAAGAGAATCCAGTTGAGTAGGGGGATCCGACTTGGTCCAATGTGTTCTGGAAGCATAATCCTCCAGTAATCATCCCCTAGGGATTTGCAAAATTTTTGCAATATTTTTGCAGAATTCCGCTCGGATCAGCCCCAAAATTGAAAATATGGGTCACTCTAATATGCAAGTTGCAACATTTTTTCCCATTTTGATGAACAAAATGAAAAGATAGCGGATCAAATTATTGAATTGATTGAAAATGTGACAAATATTTGCATTGGTGAACAGTTTATTGATTAATTTTCAAAAAATGTGAGGTTTCTGCAAGTTCATTGTATTTCGAGTTTTATGCGATTTTTCTCTATTCTATTCATAACAAATCATTTTTCTTTCAAATTTTTACTTTTAAGCTATGATTCCAATGTTTTGACACAATTTTTGATAAAATGGAACAAAAAAATTTACACCGAGGGGTAAAAGTTATTTCATGATTTTGCGCCGAGATAAATTTTCGAGGGGTAAATTAAGATTTATCCCTCGCGGGGCAATATTTATCCCTCGAGGTGTAAAAATTTACCTCTCACGGTGTAAAATTTACACCTAGGTGTAAATATTTGACCTCTCGGTCCCAAAAATGAGTGAAAACATGATTTATAAAGATTGTATTAAATGACAGGTTGTATGAACATACATTTCTGATCGATCAGGCCATCAAACTACGTATATTTGGTCTTTATTCCGAAAAATAGTTTACCCCGGTGAACAAAAATTGACCATTTTTACCTCGGTGAACAAAAATTGGACAGATTTACCCCTCGGTGTAAAATTTATCCCGGTGAACAAAAATTGACCGTAAACGTGTTTATTTTTAAGAAAATTGAAAAAATGAAGGTGCGCCTATAATTATTTCGTGCAGTGTATAAAAGTGTTTTTTATGAAAAAAAATAGCGATCCAAAGCTTTCTTCTCCACAACTTTGGTATCAAATCGGCATTTAAGTTATAAATTCTTAGAAAAATCGAACTTTTGTTCTTTAGGTTTTATATGTGTTTGATCAATTCTCGATTGTTGACACAGTTCCCTATTATTTTGAATAATAGTTCGGAAAAGTTCTTCTTACATCGGTAAGACCCTTTATTTACTTGATGAAAAAATCGAAATGACACGTAAAAACTCAACAATCAGAAGGAAAAATAAATAACAAGTCTGCTATCAGGCTCAGCATTTGTGCAAAAGTTATATGGCTGAAGAAACCCATTTATATAAAAAAAGACATTTCCTGAGGATAGCTTTACATGTTTTACTCAGTCTTTGAAGAGAAAGGTCCAAATCAGTTACGAACTCGGACTATTACCATTCTAATTTCAATTGAAAGTTAAATACCTCATTAAATGTTTATTTTTTGCATATCGTCAATTTGATTGTATCAAAGGTCTACTACTACAATTGTGTAACTATTGATGAAAATGAAGTTGTGCATCTTGCTCTAGCCTTTTAAATTCCCATAAGCAAGAGCAGGGTAAGATGTACGGTTCCATTTTATTAACAGCCATACAATTACTTCGATCTGTTTCTTCTGGAAGATTTAACAAAAACAAATAGTGGAGTAGTGCTCAATGATAAATTACAACAATCTTTTTAACAAAATTCATTAAATTGTATTAAATGAACGTAAGTTTTTGACAATACTGAAAATATTACCATTTGTTATATTAGAAGCATCATTCGAAACAATTTATTTTGTTTTTTTTTTCTTTGTAGGTAAATTAATTGAGTGTGAGACTAAAATCGATTGCTAAATTGACCATCATTAGTGCGTAATGTTTGTATTTAATTGTAGTTCTTCCGGTTTGTAAGTTGCGAAAATAAAAAATTCATTCGTCTGGAATTTGTTCATTTAATCTATCTCATAAAACATTGGAGGAATTTGCGTCTACCTCATTATTCTCGTTTGTTAAATTACGTATAGAACTAGGTTAATGGAAATATACCATCTAGTGGGAAAGATCAAATTAAAATTCCTCGCAGATGCTTGCAAATATGCGACGTATTTGCAAAAATGTCAGATATATTTGGGTGAATATTCAAGAATGGCATGTATTTTCGACAGACGGCGCTACTGGCGTAGAAGACAGTATCGAAATATGGCAAATAGTCTGCAAATAATTTTTCAAATTTGCCAATTTCATCCGCAAATATGGCAAATATTTGGTGAATATTCACAGTTGATACAAAATGAGTAAATATTGTGCAAATCATATAAATAAAGGGCAAATATACATATTTGCAGCTGGATCTTTCCCCCTAGTGTACCATATGGTAGCAGAGAAGAATTCCAGGGATTTTTTGAAAATACCATTGAATTTCCACTCAATGCATTGAATAAATTCATAGGTAGTTTGGGAAAGGTGTTTGTTTGGAATGTTCAGAACATCGGCAACTGGGTATCAATAGACAGAAATGTCAATAGACAGAAATGTTTGCATTGTCTTTGTTTCCGCTTTTTCGTTCGTTATTTGTAACAATTGAAATTATTGTAGGTTGCGCGAGAAAGTGCTTTGAATACATAGATATATTTAGTTTATTCGTTAACCAAGTAAAAGAGAAATTTGTTCCCAAAAACGTTCAGCGATTTGAATTCCATTGAAAACAATTTGTTCCTTAGCTGAAGTAGAATGACAATGCGCATTACATAATGAAGCAATTATACTGAATTTGCATAATTTTCTCATCTGAAAATTTGGATTATGGGTCAATGTACTTACGCATAGTTGAAGTTGCCATTTATGTCTTTTTGATCGACTTGATTTATAGTTTGTGCATGTGCGTCTGCATACCGTGAAGAGTCGAGTGCAGCATCTCCAACAAAGGGTGAATAGTTTACTGGTCGGGCAAATGGAAACTGATATTGTCGTTTCACTTTAGCAATTGATTTTGCACTTGATGATGTGAATGATGACAATGTAGTTGGCTCCGATTTCGTCATTACCACGCCTGAGCATAACGCTGCAAAAATTAGTATGCAAAACTGCAAAATATTGTATAAATGAAAATGATTGTGTATAGTACGTCATCTGGGTGTAAATAATTCTATATAACTCATTTTTCACAAAGATGTGATGACAAAAAACACGTACGGAGCTATCATTTCAGTCATCAAACGACTATTACAAATCCTTTGTGTGCGAATATGAAATGAGAATATATGTAATTTTTGGATTCCATTTCTAATGAAATGGATGCAAATTATTCAATCATCACACTTATAATTTTCGTGATCAATTAAAACAACAGTAATATTGCTGTTACCTACGTGTACTTCTGGGTCGTACGTGCTTACAATGTCATAGTTTACAATGTCATAGTTAGATTTCATTTTTAGTATTTTATGTATGTTTGACCGCGACAATACTGACAACATTTGATATGTTGTAGTTCGCATCAAAAAATCTGACGAACTGACGCAATTAAATGAAATGAAACAAAATAACCTCCATGTGAGCAAGCAGTAGTTTCACTTATATGGAATTAAATCTGCGGTCTTTTCTCAGAACCAATTTCATGAATCACTCTCACAAAATTCATTTTGAATTTATAACAATCGCATTCGTTGCCAATGTTTTAACTCGAGATGGTCAGTTTCTTCTACAGTTTGATTAACCATTGTTATGAAGAAACAATTCAATGATTTGTATTTTACAAATATGGTGTTTATAGCGGTCATTTCTTATTTCTGCTTTTAACGATTAAAGTTTATATTATATACCTAGCTGGAGAGAACAAAGTGATCCATTATTTATTTATTTAGAAGTGCCAAGTTCTGTCTGAATTTACTGGACTTCTTGATCTCGGTATTTGGGATAATTCTCTTGTAGAACAACTCTTTAGAATATACTTTGCACGTATTATTATTGGAATTTATAAATTATTTATTAAAAATAATGTGAATTTCAATTACAGTACGTACAAAAATCTAGTCAAAATGACCCAAAATAGACGGCTAACTAGTGTTCAATTTTTTGGTTTCGTAAGGAAAAGGAATGTAAAACATTTCAGTCCGATCAGCGTTCTTGAGGGTTCCACTAATTTATTTTACTTTGGTGTTTTACAATTATTATTTTGCGCACTACTCGAGATGTGTTTTCAATCAAAGTTTGCAGTTTTATATCACTAGAATCCATTATTTTCAATGAACACAATGGATAAAATCATAATAATAGAAATATTATTTTTAAATAAAAAATTTGAGTATTAAAATAGGAAATTAATCCTATTCTTGTTCTAATCTAAAAAATGGGCTCGGAAAGTCTTCCAAATTGTTTCCAAAAGAAACCAGACAAATGGCTCTATATTTCATGTTGTGTTAAAAAATGACATAATCAAGATGAAATTACCGTAGCGTAGTTAAATTGACAAATGAATTAACTGCTTGAAAATTTTTTCTATTTCATCAAATTAAAACTATGGGATCAATTAAATGTGAAACAATATTATCTTCTCAGAGGATGTGATATTTACAATATAAAAAATTTCCAATTCTGGATTTTTAGTAAAGTATTTTCGTTTTACGCTTCCGATTCTGGCTATATTTTCAAGAAATATATTGAATCTTATCTCACAACATAAACACACTCACCAAATTCATTTTAATTGAATGTTTACATATATATTTTTTTTATTGTATCGAAAAACAAATTTTTGATCAAATGAGTCAAAAATGATTTAAACTGTACTGTATCTGTTAGATTCCAAAAACAAATTCGATATCATCCAATTACTTGGACAGTAAGAATTGCACTGAGTACACGAAAACGGTTCCTCTTGATTTTATATGTGGTTGACACTCGTCTTAGCTAATATTCTCGTCTGAGGTAAGCTGTTTGGCCAATTAATCAAGTTTACCTCAACAGGATATTACTGACTGAGTGTTAATAACAAGTCAACAGTAACAGTGTCGTTTCTGTTTTGAAGCTCTTTTACTCAGAGCAAGCCCACTATTATATTATGTACGCGGGTGATGGAAACAGTCAACGTGCTATTATGCTTTTTTATTGTTTCTGTTGACATGTATTAACTTGAACACTTGCCGAAAATAGCGTAGTTCTTCTTACAAAATTTCCACCGCTACTGACCATCACAAATGCAAACAGCAATTGTTATTTTATCTTTCAAGTCCAAAGCACTGGAATCAATTGAATATGCGCAGCACTTAAGGCCTCCATATAGCTGTGTGAACCATTTATTTGTTCAGTAGAATAAAACTATTGTACAGTTGCAATTAGAGTTTGAATGATACCAAACAATTCATCTCCTCCCACCATATGAATTATACGCCTTTCTGTATGATTGCATTTATATATAAGATTTTACATGGTATCGAAAAATGTTCATGGTGCCGCATAGAAGACGTATCAGATCGAGATTTGACAAAAGAGACATTTTGAATGCAATAAAAACATCACATGAGACCCAAAAAATGATAAAGTTGATACACACAAAACAAGAGTACAACTTATGTGTTCTGTTGCTATAACTACATATAAGGAAAGAGACTTTGAGCAAAAAAGAGACAAATATATTTATTTGTCTTGTATACAAGCAAAAGTCACACAACTGAGTAATGAGCAAAAGCTGTTTTTTGAATTTTTTTCGTTACTATAAACAGATAACGATTAGGTGTCTTCGGCATTATTCAAGAACATTAGAAAAATAAAAACATGCCGAAGATATCTAATCGCTATCTCTTTAAAGTAGAAAGAAAAATGCGAAAAACGTCTTTTCCGCCCAATGCTGGCTATGTCAAATTTGCTCGCGAATTTTTTTGTTTCTTTTTTGCTTTAAGTTTTTTCCGCCTCAGTTATTGAAACACTTTTAATAAGTCAATCTATTGTTTTCACCGTTCTTTTTTTGATATACATACGAACAAATGGATTATATCATTTGTTGGTATTTAAGTGATGTCATATGCATATCGGCATGAGTTAAAGTAGGTAACCTCTAAGGTTTTGCCAATTATGGCTTCCGAGCTAAACCACAATTCTATACTCACTATGATTGCTCTCAGTGTAATGCAAATGTCAGTTTGAAAATTTGGAAAACAGCTCTCTATGCAAAAACCAAATAATGCATATTGCATCTATTGAGTCGTGTGGTCGGATCATTATGAGGTTTTTATAAAACGGCAAAAAAAGTCGCAGTCAAAGTTACAAATCACAGTATGTTATTCCCTGTTGAAGTGGATTTGGTGAAAAAAATAATGAAAGGGAATTCTGAATGAAACCATCAATTTCACTGTTTGCATATTCGAAAAATAGTAAACATGTGTTGGAATTCTACAACATTTCTGCCGAACCCGGATGCGAATCAGAATCGAAATCTTATTACAAAAAAAAAAACAATGCAACCCTTCTTCTTGAGTTAGTTTCACAAATTGGACTGAAAACTACAAATTATATTTTGTTATCCCTCGCTTAATATATGCCAAATATATTCGGTAACATATTGAGTCGATAGAATAATTCCGACTAAAATAGTAGGTTTAGAGAATATATTTGGTGAATATTGAAAAAGGGAACATGTGAAAGGGAATTTGTAACCTTCAGTCCAATTTGGGAAACTCATTCAAGAAGAATTTCCATTGTTTTCATTATAAGATTCCTATTCTGATCGGCAAAAATGTTCATTCGCATTTGGAAAAAATATTGTAGCATTCCAGCACTAGAGTATTTAGAATCAGAGTTTGAAAATTGTTTCTTTGTTTTACAAATGACTGAAATGCACAAAAGTTCCAAAAAAACCGACATATTCATGGCAATCTGTAAAAAGTTCTACCACATTTTCCCGAGAAAGAAAATTTATTGGGCTAGAAAATTTGTTATCTGTTTACATAAAGTTTTTATATGTCAAATAATGCTAACGCTAGATATGAATGCTATGTACTTTCCACAATTTAACATATCCAATAACTGTTCTTCTCAGTAACAATTTAACTATGAATAGTGAATACATTCAACTGTTTGCATTAATATTTTTATAGGAAGCATTATCACGATTGTAATGGTATTATTTTTGTTTCTATTCTGCATATTCGAAAGTTTGCATTGCAAATCTGATTTAGTACCATTCCCAGACCAAGGGCATAGGTTTACAAGAAAACCTATGCCAAAAACACTTCAAGTAAAACTTTCATTTGGAAAAACAAGAAACCGTGTTCCGAACAAATCAACTTGTTGATTTCTGTTCGTTAAATAAAAGTAAACCTTATTTTATTTATAATGAGAAAATCTGTGAAATTCAATTAATTCATCATTTCAACAATAACTCAGATCAGCATCCGTCCTCATCAAATAATTTTTGTTTATTAAATTGACAGTTGACGTAAGAATAGATCCAGAAGACTCGTGACACACTATTGCAATTAATGGGAACACGCACTGAACCAAGAAGAACCGCATTATTTTCATTGTCATTTCAACAAAAATTGACATTGAACTCATACCGCCGCTCCCTTCAACCGTTCTTCATTCGAATACTAAAAAGCCACAATAGCGTTTTCTTCTTCATTTATAAGTTATTTCAACTTCATTTCATGTTCATTCTTGTTACTTTTCCGCAAACTTTGTTTGTTAAGGAAAAGTATTGGTTTCACTAGCCAAAATTTCATGACATCTCCTCTTTTAGACCACAATACCGTCGCGCCAAACTTCGAAAAGCATATATCTGTACACTAGACAATGTAGATGGGAACAAATCCCATCGATCAAGACCTATCTGCCCCCAAAAATACTTTGTTTACTATGAAAAATGTGCAAAATTGCGATGTGCGTATGGCGTCGTTCGCGTCCGAAATTTTTGTTCGTCGGATATCTAAAAAAATTGACGAGATAATTGGGATCTGTAAAAGCCAAAATTTTTAGCATGTCGACACGAAGCTTCGAATTGATTGAGCCCATTCTGACCTACCAATTTTGTACCATAAGCCTCCGACTGAGGACCTGAAAAACCTTGAAAAATGACACTTTTGTATGGGAAATACCCGAAAAAAGCATTTTGCAGGGTATTGGCTGGGGTATTGGTCGAGGCAAACTTATGTTTTTTTGCAAAAATAATGGGGGAACACCTACTTCCCATAAATTTGGCCTGAAATCGTCATTTTTTGAAATTCTGTTCGAAAATGACACTTTTATATGGGCGAGGGTCAGGTCGGTAACGTTACAATTCGCACGCCTATTTCGTCCATATCTCCGAAAATAATAATGAAAACCCAAAATTTTAAAAGTGCATATGATAGTGCTGCCCAAGACACACATTTCAAAGAAAAACTTTTATTTTTATCACTTGTAGTATTGGACTCATGAGCGATTAAAGGCGTCGGTAACGTTACAAAATTTTGAAAGTGATTTTCGAGGTTGCTCAAAGGTTTTTATGAAAATTAGCGAATCTACTCAGGCATAAATCTATTGTCACTCATTATATCGTAGATGAAGGATCAAAGAAAAGATGGAAATATAGGGTGTGCACGAAGAACTGTTCTGGCGGTCTCTGGACCCAGTAGGTGTAGAATCGGTAACGTTACAAAAAAAATCGGTAACGTTACACGTGCGATTTGAGTGCTCCAAAAACCAGGATAGAAAATAAAAATCATATTTTCTCGAATTTATTATTAAAGTTCTGGCCCATTTTTACAAAAATATGCAAAAGTTCTTATAGTTTTGTAAAAGCATAGTAGAAATCTTATGCTTTCAAAAAAAGGGTCGGTAACGTTACAAAAATCGAAAAAAATCGAAAATTTGTAGATTTTCATATGAAAAATTTATCCGAATTGGATAAAATTTTCAGAGAATATAAGTTTCATGAAATAATTAGGCTATGCAGAAATTCATTGCGATCGAACGACGTTAATATACTTTTTTGCTCCTTAGAAACATTTTTTGCGTGGTTTCGTTTTACTGACCCTTCCCCTTATGGAAAATGGTCGAAATAGTTATTTTTCAAGGTCAAAAGTGCTATGAAAAAAGTTTCCATTGAAATTTTGGTTAAACATTAAGCGGGAAGTAAACTAAATTGCTGCGGAGCGGAAAAGTTTGGATTACGTATGTAATTCGTTTTATTTTACATGTAAAATTAATCCGATCGATTTCTGCCCTATGGAAAAAATCTTTTCAGAGGTCGCTTTAGTGCTCCGATTCGTGTTTCATTTTGGTAAACATCAACAACTACACAGATTTTACGTTGTTCCCCACACAGAGATACACAAACACCAATGCAGTGTCCGCATTCATTATATCTTTCGGCATCTGTCGCTCTCTGTATCATCTATAGTGATGCGTAATACAGAAGATGAACGATAGTACAATATCATCGATTGTCTCTTTCGCACTTCAATGTGCGTGCGTAATACGGTATAACCGACGCTTCAGTGAAGGATGGCCAATACGTATTGAAATGAATAGTTATTTATTTGTATTGCCATTGCTCACAGCATCACTGTTCACGGTTGTGTGAAAAAGGCAACAAGTCATATTGTAGCATCTAACAATTTTCGTACGACGCACCAACACAAATTATTCAGAAAAATGAAACGCAGTATTTCATGCAGACACCGTATCGGTTTTTACATGTTTTGAGCGTGTTGCTTTGTGTGTGCGAGTGTTATAGCTGCACAGTTAATAATATATTATTAATAATTATTAATACTATATTATTAACTAGGCAGTATTAACAACTGATACGTTATTAACATCGCCTGTTAATATCGCTATTACTTACTAGTTAATACCAGTTAATACCGGTATTATCATACTAATATATTATTAACATGCGATGTTAATACCGATAGTATGGTCATACTATATTATTATGATTTTCATGATAATATTTTATTAACATCCATGTTAATAATTATTAACATTTCTGATGATATTTATCAACATCATAGCGGTGCAGTGTGAGGACTACGCGCTCACTACGCGCCCCACTACGCGCCCGAATGTCAGTTGTACGCCCTGATATGAATGTTAAGTAATCTTAAATACGGTGTTTGGAGATCGTATTATAATTATTAAATTTCCACATTAATTCATTTATAATTTTACA